CGAAGTTTCCCTATAAATTCCGTCTCGGCAACATGGGAATTTTAGGAGTTTTCAAATAATGACGAACATTAATTGTTAATCGAACTATTTCTATTATCTACGTGATCTAGATGACTCGACATGCATATGTGGCGATTATGTTGGATATCATTGTGGTTTTAGGGCCAATGGTAACAATTGTAAACCGGGTGCTATTATTCCATTGATTGGCAAATCATGTGACAAAACTGGGTATTATTTCTGCCCGAGTGTCCAAACAGTGGCCGTATTTAAAGGTTACTGCCCTACTTGTCAACCATCGGATTTTATTGGTAATGATAAATGCCTCATGCTCAAAAGTGATAAATATGAAGGTATCTATCAAAATAATTGTCATTTATAAAGTAGCATAATTTTTCTTTTATGAAATTATTTTACTTTGTTTATTACACAGATCGTATAATAATATTAATAGTTATTAATTAATTAAATTACTAATTGATCAAGTTTGATAAAAATATATCAATTAAATTATTAATTACTAATTATTTACTTTGAATTACAAATACTGTATACAATTAGAAGATAATAGATGCTATAGCGGTGATTATATGGGCATTCACTGCGGCGATCGGGCTGTTGAATATACATGCAATTACGACCAAATAATTTTACATGGCAATTGCGAGCGTGGTGGATTATACAGGTGTCGTATTAAACAAGGCGAGGCTGAATTTGGTTATGATTGTACCAAATGTGACCATGATCAACAAATTGGCAAAGACTCGTGCGGCTATCCTACTATGAAACCAACGGTAACTCCAACAACAACACCAAAAGGTGATGACCCAATTGATGACCCAACCGATTACCCAACTGATTACCCAACCCATGCTTTTTCTTAAATTAACATTGATCAATGATCATAATAATTTAAACACGATTTCTTAAATAAATTTAATCAATACATTAGAAATTTTATATCATTTTGGCCGTATATCATATGCTTACAAAAGTCTAATATTCTACTACACATAAAAACTATTATATCTGATAGTAATATTGCAGACAATGGTCATTTTAGCGTAAAATCTATTATAAATACTTATAAAATTATTTTGTGATTCAATAACTACGTTCTATTAAAAGTTTTAATTTAAAACATTCCTTATTTCACCCTGGACTATTTTCTATCGATCTTCTCGGTGATAATTTTGCTATTTTTGAAAATTTATTAAATTAGACTAGAGCAAATGTAGAGTACACTATATTCAAAACAACAGATTTTAACATTGGTTATGTCAAAAATCTATTATCACAATTTATTATACTTTTAATGACAAGGTATAACTTATAATCCAATTTATTACTATATGTTTTTACCTATTACATTTAAATTGCAAATGATTTATAAAAATCATAAATGTATAAAATATAAATTAAAAGAATTTAAATATTCGTTCAGTTTCTTTCCAATGTATTTGTAAATTATAATTGATTTGGTTATACAAATCAATTTTCAATTATATTGTACAGTCTGTTTAAAATAACATTTATATAGTATAAATCATGATGTCTAAAAAGGGAGGCTTTACCTATATGCTCCCATAGACAATACATTGTAATTTTGCTCAATTAGTGCTCTTTTAGATACTATGGTATAAATTTTTATCGTTTTCATCAATATCTTATAATTTTCCGGAAAATATTATTTATTGATATATAAATAAATAATGATATATTTTAAACAATTTATCAAGATACTATTTAGTATTTTTAAAAAAACTTTGTTAATATTGTCAATAATTTACAATATTTTATTTATTTGGATATTACATAGATTTTCATTTATTTGTTGGATATTTAAAAATCAATTTCTAGATTTATTATTGATAATTATAATGCTATGTTTCAATATAATTTAAATACTAAAATAATTAACATATTCATAAAATTTGCCCATGTTAATATAAGCCAAAACACTGTTTCCTGGTGACAATCACGGGTACGTTTACGTGCAAATTCTTTTTACCAGGTATTTTTGCGGTGAATCGTAATTCATACGTGATGGAAATGTGTGTAGCTTCCATAGACAAGGGTATATCCATCGGAACGGGTACCTAAGTATTACATAAATATTATCATGACAAAATTGTTTTTATATTAACCAACCAGAATTTTTCCCGCTCCGTCTAATCCCGGACCGACGTGCGAACCAATCGACTTATCAAACTTGATCACTTTGGTTTGCTTATGTGAACCAACCCTATAGAGTCTTACTCGGCTTAACCGAGCGCTTGTGAACAACTGTAGTGCCGTTCGATTGTTGACCATAAAATCAATTAGAATCATATCACCTAGGACAATTTGTTTCAACATTTACAGTACAAAATGAAATTATAAACTATTCAATTTTATTTTTTATATGAATTAAATATTTTTTTGAAATATTTAGAAAGATATTTATGTTATGTTTTGCTAAATTTACTCGTTAAGTTACTTGACGGTACCTGGATAATATCCATGTTTATTTAAATTAACAGTTGCCCGAACACTTCCATCATTGGCAATCAGGCCAATTTGCTTTTCGCTTACCATTTGCCTTGGTAACTAAATAATCATAGAAAATATAAAATAATATAACATAATATGTAATGATAATAAATTACTAAAATATATCACATAATAATAATAATATGTATGTGTGTTATAGTGTTTTATAGTATTCCCTACACAATGTGTACTTCCTATCTTACTATACATGTCAGAATTCATAAAGTTTTGCTTCAGTTATAACATGTTTAATTTTGCAAGAATGAGAAAGGTTACATTATTTTTATTTACATACCATAAGTTCAGGAAAAATAAAGGGCGCCTCTACAATAAATGGTATTTTGTCAACACGGTGATTTCTTTTGTATATTTGTGGCTTATGTAACATTCCATTAATAGAGTACTCGACGGCAGCGTTAGTCGCTTTAAAACTCGATGGAATACCTCTATTGAAATGAATATAATTTTAATTAATAAATAAATTTAATTTTTGGTATAATTTGTATCTATAATTACTCGTTTGGTAGCGGTAGCACAAATGGTAATTCGTGGACACCTTTGCCTATTTCTCTATCAAGAGCTATAGATTGTAAAATTTATAGTTAATATCTTTATTATATAATAGTTTTTTAAAGATATTCAAATAATAATAAAAATATATTTTACCTTGGCCCACAAAATTAAAATCAACTTTTAAAAATCTATCACATCCGTAATATGTATCTCTACCTTCACTAATTTGTGCATGTTCGAAGCCGATAATATTTATCACGATCTGGGAAATAAGACACAAAATAATATATATTTTTTAATTTGTAAAATATTTTACATACCTGTGATAATTTCAATACACCATCTAGCTCAATTATGCATCTGCCCGTAACCCTATCGCCACACGTTAATGTCTGTACATTCGAGTCTAATAATACTTCAAAGCGTTTTAACTTTATTCTACCCATTGCTGTATTATGACAGTAAATGAGCCTACCTCAATTATGTGTTGATTATAAATTTTATTATCTACATTCAACGTTATCTTTTTATTACCTAGATACCAATCATTAGTAATAAGGTATTGCTACTAAAAGTACAAGTTCTACGAAATAATATTTTTGTTCGTAACGTATGGTATCAGATTTGATTACCACACTCAATTGAAACAATTGTAATTCTAATTGCATTAGTATGTTTTAAAAATTACCTTTCTTCACCTTTAATTTATTTATTATAAAAACATTTAGTGATTAATAAAACATATAAATTAACTAACTACTACTAAACTTTATATTCAACTAACTTAACAAAATAAACTAGAGCAAATGTAGAGTACACTATTTTCAAAAACAACAGATTTCAACATTGGTTATGTTAAAAATCTATTATCACAATTTATTGTATATTTTATGATAAGTTAAATTAAAATCTAATTCACTATTACAATTCAATATATGTTTGTACATTATTGTACATTTATATAAAGTGTACTATAGTATAAATTAGATTTATAATTTCTATCCAATGGATTACAATTTCACAAAAACTATTATTTATCAATATAAAAATAAAATATTATTTTATTTTAAACAACTAACTATTTAGTAATTTTAATTAACTTTGTTAATAATTTACAATATTTGAATATCACATAGATTTTTGTTTATATGTTTGATATTTAAGAACAAATTTCTATATTTAAATTAAAAGATCAAGATTATAATGCTGTGATTGAATTTAATTTAAATAATTAAGACGTTCATCAAGTGTTACTATAAACCAAAACACTGTTTCCTGGTAACAATGACGGGCACGTTTACGTGGAAATTCGGTTTACCAGGTATTTTTTCGGTGAATCGTAATTTGTACTTGATGGAAATGTGTGTCGTTTCCATAGACAGAGGTATATTCATCGGAACGGGTACCTAAATATTATATGAATATTATTATTGCAAAATTATACTTATATCAACCAACCATAATTTTCCCCGCTCCGTTTAATCCCGGACTGACGTGCCAACCAATAGACTTATCAAACTTGATCACTTTAGTTGTGCTGTGCGGACCAACCTTATAGAGTCTTACTATGCTTAACCGAGCGCTTGTGAACAACTGTAGTTCCGTTTGATTGTTTACCATATAATCAATTAGAATGGTATCACCTAGTCAAATTTATTTCAACATTTACAAAATAAAATTACAAACTATTAAATTATATTGTTTATATGACTTAAATATCTTTATATGTGATATTTTGCTAAATTTACTCGTTACTTAAAGGTACCTGGATAATATCCATGTTTATTTAAATTAACAGTTGCCCGAACAGTTCCATCATATGCAATCAGACCCATTTGTCTTGGTAACTAAATAACAATAGAAAATATAATAAGGGGGCGGTCAAGTGATTCCAAGACTGCGGTATTCATTATATCTCTTCAACGAGAAGAGATAAATTGATTCTGTAAAAAGCATTCTATAGCCACATATACGCGGGATCTGCTGCATAGGCGGTCAATATATTTTAGTCACGTGGTATACAAAATATGGGACAATTCGGAATGGGCATGTTATTGGCCAAACCATAAGAAATATAAAGATGGTCCCCATGGGTAATTTATAAAAGGATAAATTCTGCACACAATAAAAAAAGAATTATTAAAATCTGATCAATAGTATAGGTTTTATGGCTTAATAAAGACAGACTTTTCGTAATGCTAATCCTATGGGGAAATTTTAAGTACAAAATATTGAGATGGTCCGAATACAAAATATTTAGAGTAAATAATTGTGTATAATATAAAAAAAGAATTATTAAAATCTGGCATGTATTTTGGGTTTTATCAACGAAAGAGTGATAATAAATCATGTTATGATAATAAATCACTAAAATAGGCACATACTAAAGGGCCCGGAAAACATTTTTAACCAGAATTCAGCTATGAATAATGTGGTATATAGGTTCGTTCGGCTACCATCTCCCCAGCCCCCTGCTCTATGGGATTTACATGGTATTACAGATTAAGTCTATGGCAATACTTTAACATGGGGTTCTTGAGTCTATGGGGAATTAACATAGGATTACAACATAAGTCTATGGTTATACTTTAACATGGGTATTGCTAATTTGTAAGTCTATGACAAAGCTAATCCTATAAGTAATGCTAAGTCTATGGCATAGGGATAACATGTTATAGTGTTTTACAATATTTTCTAAACAATTTTTAGTTTGTTTACTATCATTCTATACCAGGAGTGATCAAATAGGCTGAAAAGCTAGAATGGCAACACTATGCTCCATAGAAAATACATTATAGCAATGCCCACCATTGCCCAATTATGCCCGCTTTGCTCTTCTATGTTCTATACATCTGAGAAGTCATAAAGTTTTGCTTTAGTTATTGCCTTTTAATATTGCAAGTATGAGCAGGGTGACATTATTTTGATTTACATACCATAAGTTTAGGAAAAATAAAGGGCGCCTCCACGATAAATGGTATTTTGTCAACACGGTGATTTCTTTTGAATCTTTGAGGCTTTCGTAACATTCCATTAATAGAGTACTCGACGGCAGCGTTTGTCGTTAGTATCTACTGTATAATTACTCATTTGGTAGGGGCAGGACAAATGGTAATTCTTGAACACCTTTGCCTATTTCCCTGTCAAGAGCTATAGATTGTAAAATAGTTTATATTTGTATTATATTGTTTATATTATTATATAATAGTTGTTTTAATTTGTTTAAATAATTATAAAAATATATATTTTACCTTGGCCCACAAAACTAAAACCAATATTTAAAAATCGATCACACGCGTAATGCGTATTTCTACCTTCACTAATTTTAGCATGTTCAAAGCCGATAATATTTAACACGATCTGGGTAAATAGACACAAGATTATATATTTTTCAATTTGTAAAATATTATCCATACCTGTGATAATTTTAATACACCATCTAGCTCAATTATGCATCTGCCCGTAACCCTATCGCCACACGTTAATGACTGTACATTCGAGTCTAATAATACTTCAAAGCGTTTTAATTTTATTTTACCCATTGCTGTATTATGACAGTGAATGAGCCTACCTTAATTATGTGTTATATTATAAATTATTATAAAATTTAATTTTATTATCTACATTCAACGTTATTGTTTTATTACCTAGATACCAATCATTAGTAATGAGGTACTAATACAAATTCTACAAAATATTATTTTTGTTCGTAAGATATTATATCATATTTTATTACCACTCTTAATTAAAACAATTGTAATTCTAATCGTATTAGGATGTTTTAAAAATTACCTTTCTTTAGCTTAAATTCATTCATCTTAAAAACATTATTACGATAAAACATACACTATTAAGACAGCAAACCAGTTTATTTTCAAAATATAAATCTCATATAAATCTAATTGCTATGTTACCTGGAATTATTTTGGCCAAGTTTCTACCTTTTGTGAGTAAAAAACAAAGTGTACCGGGTGAAATATTCCTTGTATATAAATGCAACACTTAAAATGTTAAACAAAACAGTTTCAGATATAATATGTTAAACATGATTTTTTTAGGAATTGGATTTTTATTTGTGGTAAAAGTAGGCATATCTATGCATTAAGGCATTTTGTCTGTGCCTTTGTTTAATAACAAATTGTTTTATTAAACTTGAACATTATTTTTAAATAATTGTTTTAATTAATTTTATTTTAAAACTAAAATACCAAGTGGAATTGGCAGCATAAAGATAATTATTCTATGATTCTCTTATATTTCGTATTATTTGACAGCAACATGAAATATAACATTTTAAATTTAATAAAATTAACATTATTAGTGTTGTTTAATATATATTGATGTTACGTATTAAAATATAATTTATTATCATTTATATTAAAATTACCATTATAAGACTTAATTTATAAATAATTTTAAAAAATTGCGTAATGTTGAATGCCATTTGTACCAATATTTTCTAAATATCTTTGTTTAATTACATTTATTAATGGTAAAAAAAATCATTACAGATTGTGTAAAAATAAATATAGCATTATTATATAAAGCTAATTAAATAGGCATTTTTATGATAAATTAACATAAAAATTAAATAAGATTTAAGTTATAATTATTTAAGTTAACAATTTAGGGCACCAGAAACCAAGTTTCATGAAGAATGGATGATTGGTCTGTAATACAAACTCTGTATACTAAAAATTTTTAATGAGTGTAAATCTGAATTATTTTAACAAATTTGCACTTAAATATTTGGTTGAAAATTATCATATTTTTAAATATCATAACTTCAACTACAATGAGAGTCAAATTCTAAACCGAATACAGACCACCATGATGCTTATAAAAATTAAAATCTAGATTTATCTAAAATATTTAGATTTGATTATAATTTATTTATTTAAATATTTCTAACCTATCATAAAAATTGTATTTATTTTTGTTTGCAATTCTTGTCCCATTAATTTTTTAGAAACTATAGTATAAATTCATCTCAATCATCAATAAGTTTATATGAAATTTAAAATCCATTAACCACATGGTAAGTTTTGATAAAAATCAATTTAAATTGGTTTTATTAATTTATAACAAATTCTTTGTAGTTTAATAGTAGATAAAATTTTCGCGAATAATGCAAGATTTTACGGTTTATATTGAACAATATTTTAATAAAATAATTATATATAATTATTTAAATGATTTATTTGTATAAATTGCTTGTGACTAACAGTATATACAGTACATTATCAGAAGATAGTTTATCCTATTAGTAATAATAATGTTATGCTTTCATAAAGTGTTAATCCATAAATTTATGGTAAGATTTACACAGTCCGATTTAACCTCATATTTATATAACATAACCGAATAGTATAATGTAAAAATTATCTTAATTCACGATGTCATAAATTGTTTAAATGATATATATATTAATAATAAATCAAATACGGTATAATGATCATGCATTTATACTTCATGATTTATATTATACGAACAATGCTAAAATATTTTCAGTTATAAATATTTATTGCTCTAAAGTTAATAAACAAACTATGTAATTAGAATTATTTAAAATTACATAACGAAATTATATACAATTGTAATATGTATATGTTAAATTATGTTTGCATTTTGTTGTTGTTTACTCAAGTTAGTACAGACGGACGAAACATGGATAATAACATTGGTAATATTATCAGAATAATTTATTGTGATTTTTATATAAAATTGAATATTTTGATGTTTGACATTTTACTATAATATCTATTGTTATTGAGAATTATAAATTCAAATAGCTAGACTGTCGGTAAATAACATGTTCCCAAGTGTATACTTTCCATAGAAATATAATGTACCATTAATAAAAAATAAAATAGTTTTCTATTGTATATTTTAATTTACAATAAAATCAACAAATAATTTAATAAATCATAAATTACATTATATTCAATATAATAGTAAAAACATTTCTTGGGAAAATATTTTTAAATTTTGTATGCTACTTAATAATTGGTGATTGAATTTAAACATAATTTGTAATAAGGGCTATGATAGTGAACTGTCAGATATGAAAATGTGGTTTAATCCACTATTTTAACATATTTTTAGATATTTTCCGAGAAGGTTTTTTTTAAAAATTATTTACGGTTAAATATAAATTAATTGTTAATTGTATAAAATAATTTGGTCATACTTTATATAAAAAAATTTCTAGATGACGCGACTTGTATGTGCGGCGATTACGTTGGATACCATTGTGGTTTTAGGGCTAATGTTAACAATTGTAAACCGGGTGCTATTATTACACTCTTTGGCAAATCATGCGACAAAACTGGATATTATTTCTGCCCGAGTGTCCAAACAGTGGCCGTATTTAAGGGTTACTGTCCTACTTGTCAACAATCGAATCATGCTGGTAGTGATCAATGCCTTATGCTCAATAATAATAAATCAAAAGGTAATAACTTTAAACCTAATCTTTATTACTGAAATTTAATACTATGCAAGACAATTTTAGTCCAGAATGCTGATTATACAAACATAATTTACTTTTTTAAGTAGACATTTTAATTTTACAAACTGATTAAGATGATTTTTTCAGGTTATGTATAATCAATTTAACAATTTATAGTTTGGTAAAACTATATCAAATAAATTCTTAATTGATTGATAATATAATATTTACTAATTGTTTACTTCAATATACAAATATAATTAGCAAACAATACATGCAATTGCGGCGATTATTTGGGCATTCACTGCGGCGATCGGGCGGTTGAACATACATGCAATTACGACCAAATAATTCTACATGGTAATTGCGAGCGTGATGCAATATTTAGGTGCCTTAATAAACAGGGTGAGGCCGAGTTTAAAGGTTATTGTGTTGGTTGCGACCATGATCAACAAATTGGCAAAGACTCGTGCGGCTATCCTACTATAGCACCAACTGATGCACCAACTGATGCACCAACTATAGGACCAACGCGTCCGACACGTCCGACACGTCCGACACGTCCCACACGCCCCCCACGTCCCACCACAACACCTGATTACCCAACCTGTGATTACCCATGCTATTGCTCAAATTGAATAAACACAATTAATTTAACATGATTTATTTAATAAGGTTAATTAATAAACTCTAAATTTTATATGAATTATATTTTACTATTAAATAAATAAAATATTTGCAATTTTTGTGTTAAAATAAATTCACGAATAAATAAATGAAATCATTAAATGAAGATAAATTTATAAATTAATACCGGAACCATAAAGTCAATATTCAAGAAGTCTGGTATAACGAGTCATATTTTTAATACTGTATTTGGGTAGTTTTCTCAGTGCCGAATGTTTTTCAGTTTATCGTGTACATTTTAATGTAAGTGCAATTAAACATAAATAGTGGCTTAATTAAGGTTCATTTTGATAATAAAACACCAGGTAGAACTGGCAGCATAAAAATAAAAAGTAACTATACTTTAAATTTGAGAATTACTTTGTAATTTTATTAATGTCTATTTTGCTCAACAGTTTACTATAGACTGACCAGATGGGTTTTGCTAAATTCTGGATTTTCATTGAAATTCTCGTAATATTCCTGGACAAATTTTGGACAAAAAGTGGTCTAAACCTTGACTAATTCTGGACAGGTTTCTAAGCAATAATAAAATATTTTATTCATGTTTTTAAGACGATTTTAGTTTATTTGTGCCTGTACATTTTATATTTTTACATTATGTTATTTGATTTAAGATATTTACCAATTACAAATTTAACAAAAAACACGATAAACTTAATCACAATTTAAACTATATGCTAAAACTAAACTATTATGTGTGATGTTATGCTTGAAAATATTTAAATTCTTTGCTATCATTCACATGTAATGGTCGTCATTATTTGAAAATTTCTAAAATTCCCATGTTGCCGGGACGGAATTTATAGGGAAACTTCGGAAAATAAAAAATCTATCAGGGAAATGATTAACAAGGGGGAAATATTTTAAATAATTTTAATAATTTTAAGCATTATTATCCATAAATTGTTTGAAAAGTATAAAAATGTGTAAAATAATTTTATTTAAAACAGTACTCAATTACTTTTATAATGTATTTGGTGAATAACAAAGAATTACTTGTCACTCACATAGCATTACCTTATCATTTGAGCGCAATTATTAAATTTTGATTAAAAAATAATTTACAAAATGATTCAAATTAAATTAATTAAATAGATTTTACCTAATATTCCTCTCGATTATGTTTAACCATGTTAGGGCACATGTAATAAATATGATAAAATATTTATATATCATCCCAATTTTAAGGAATATAAAGAATTTTCCGGCGCAAAACTATTTTCCTGGAAAATAGTTTTCAAAAATGGAAAATGACGAACATTATTCACATGTGAAAACCATTAACTTTATGTATAACTTATGTTTATTAAATAATATATTCAATCAGGTAATTATATTTAAAAATATTGTACTCAATTCGTATTATTGATAGTATTGGAAATTGATAATATATCGATAAAATTCCATTAACAAATATATTTTTCTAACAGAGTACTTTATATGCAAAAGAATTTTATATTGATTATTTTAAAGTGTATGTATATGTATTGTACAAGTATTTGGGCAGTCTGTTATAAACAATTCCCTTCAATAAAAGCACTGCTACAAATACTGTATGGAGTTTAGAAAACATTTATAGTAAAAATTTCATTTTATCATTCCTGGACACTATAATGTCAGGGTTTACCCCCGCCCTGGACACTGGACAGGGACCTTCATTTCGGGACAATCCAGGCCATTTCTGGACATCTGGTCAGTCTAGTTTACTATCAAATACATTTAAACTACTTAACAACTAGGCAAGCACAATTAAACAAGATATAATTTATATTTTTAGATAATATTTCTATGTTTATAATTCATGACAAATTCTGTGTGGTAATTTATACTAAATTTCTACGTTAATTCATTACACACTAATTTTATTAAATGACCTAGTGTACATTTGTACAAACACAAGATTGAGTCTGCAATGTTAATTAAGACAGATAATTGATTACATTATGTACAGGTACATTAAAAATAACTTTTATTATACAACAACAAACCCGGATTAATGATCCAATTAATAGAAGCAAACAGAGATTAGATTATAGTCTCAGTACTCATAACATGATTAAAACCACTTAAAAGTAAAATTAAATAGTGTACATAGATACAAAATAAGCCACTATGCATTTTTAGTGTACCTTATTTATTAGAGCTAATATCAATTACAAACCAAAATGCGTTTGTTAATAATAATGGGGTTTATAGTCGTGCTATACTGCGGGGCACAGGTAGCGGCCAAACCCCGTATAGTATGCTATTGGGCTAATTGGGTAAATATGGCACCGGAGGAGATCGACGCCACCCTCTGTACGCATATTTACTACGCCTTTCACGTAATGGACCCGCAAAACAACGTGATAAAGGACTCCAAGGGTTGGCCACAACCGGATATATACAACAAATTGTTGGCTTTGAAGCACAAGAATCCGACCCTACAGGTAGTGGTGTCGGTGGGCGGTTGGGGTCAACCAAACGAGCCATATTCAAAGTTGGTCAACACGCCGGCCCTCCGTAAACAATGGATTGCCAACACTATTGCTTATATTCAAAAGTATAAGTTTGATGGCCTGGACATCGACTGGGAGTACCCGGTCTGCTGGACGGGCAACTGTACGGCCGGTCCCGCATCCGATCGTGTTAATTATGGTGTGTTTGTGAAGGTAAGTTTGAAAGCAACATTTTGGTTATACACATTGCAAT